AGGAACTGCAATGGGTAAACGCAAATCTAGGAGTTGAGGAACAAGTTTGAATACTTGGTGCATCCCTTGCTCTGGCAGGTCCCCAGAAGCCTCTTCTCTAAGGGCCCATTCACACCAGTTGAGGATCATCTCCAGACCAGACCGTTTCCGGACCCCAAAATGCATCCTAATGTATCCCTATGCGATTTCTGGCCTCTGTTCCCTTCCAGACCAGAAAAATACTGCTTGTCCTATTTTGTCTGGTCTGGAACGCATCAAAATGGTGTGAACCCAGCCTTAGGCACTCTCGTCCAGGGGTCACATGCTAACATCATCACATACTATGCTGGACCAATAGTCCTGTATTGTACATGAGGATGGCAAGGACCCGTCCGTAAACTGAAGAGAGCAGCAACCTATCAGACATTACAACTGATTCATCAACCCCTAGACCAGGGGCAGCCAAACTGCAGCTCTCCAGCTGTGATGAAACTACAAGTCCCATTAGGCATTGCAAGTCTCTGACAGCAACAGGCATGGCCTAATGAGGCAGATACATGATAGCTTTCGTAGTTTCCCCACAGCTGGAGGGCCGCAGTTTGGCTACCCGTGCCCTAGACTTAACCGGCATTTGACCCCTGCAGTGAGGAGATAGCCAACCTTTGCACTCAAGTTGTGGTCAAACTACAAATCCCATAATATCCCTGCCTCTGGAAGTCATACCCGTGGCTGTCAGAATCTTGCAATGACTTCTAATTCCACAACAGCTGGAGGGCTGAGGTTGCCTACCCGTGTCTTAGATCATATCTCCTAGGCCAGGGGTATCCAAAACTTCGGCCCTCCAGCTGTTGGGAAACTACAAGTCCCATGAGGCATTGCAAGACTGTCAGCCACAGGCATGATGGAAATTTGTAGCGCCACCACAGATGGAGCGCTAAGGTTGCCTAGCCCAGCTCTGGCCTAATGAAATGACTACAAGAAAACAGTTCAATCTCTTGGTAGTTGGAGATGTAACATGCCCAGGTAGCTCCATGAGCCATTGCAAGTCTCTGACGGAGGCATGACTCCCTAGAGCAGTGGTGGCGAACCTTGGCACTCCAGCTGTTCCAAAACTACAAATCCCAACATGCATCTGCCTCTGGGAGTTATGTCTGTGGCTGTCAGAGCCTTGCAATGCCTCATGGGACTTGTAGTTCCAAAACAGCTGGAGTGCCAAGGTTCCCCACCACTGCCCTAGCGGCATGATGGCATTTTGCAGTTTCCCCACAGCTGGGGATCCACAGTTTGGCTACCCCTATCCTAGGCCCTGCTCCTCTCCCCCCACAAATACTGCCAATTGCTTGCTGTGTAAATACAATGTAACAATCGTTAGATCAAAGGTGTGACCAAGTATCCATTTTCTATGCCCATCAGCTCCATCTAGTGGCCATGATGTGGTATTTTCCTGATATTACATTTGACCTGGAAAGAAAATAATAATATTCACAGATCGAATGCACATGCAGTTGCGCAGGACGAATGGCTCTGCAAATTGGTTATAAACGCATCCCATTGCTTTTAAACAGTATCTTGTATGCATATCACACATATGAATGACAATTCCCCCCCCCCGAAAAGACCACAAACAACAAACTTACTATTAAATGCTTTATTGACATAGCTCTGCATCCAACGGTAACATAGGGTGAGAGCAAGAAAAAAAAAAAAAAAAAGCCCTGGGTCCTGCCCTCTTACAGTGGGGGTCAGTATATAGGGCTGCAAGCCCAGCAGCCTTCACTCTTGCATGCAGGACCTGGAAATCCACATTTCTTACCAACCTCCACCGTGCCCTCTATGCTGCAGTGGGACGACAGAAAGAGGTAGGCCCCCTAATGGACACAACAGGAACTTGCAGATGGCAGGACAGTTTGAATGCTTTGGTTATATGTGTCACAGTGATAGATTGAAAACAGCACGGCTACAACTAATTACAAATAATGCAGGCGACAAACCCACTTTATGCGGACAGATGCAACGCTCTCAGGCTTTTTTTTTTTTTATCTCTAGCAGATCGAACCAGTCCACCCCGACTGACCCAGTCCTCCCAATTATCACTATATAGCAGCAGTGCCTCCAATCTAGTAGATGGTGCTCAATCTTCCCTAAAGTGCACCTGTCAACGCCGCGGACCCGGCCATTTGGTGGAGTAAGAGTATCCACTTGTCTGCTACGGGCGATGGGTGACCTGCGGGCCTTTTGGTGAACAACTCCTGGAGTGCTTGTGGTTCCTCGCCATCTTTGGTGTCCACACAACGTCAACTGACCAAATGTTTATGATGGTAAGGGCTAAACTACACGTGCAATTTTCATCTGAGAGATTTATCCACTTCCAACGGCCATCTTATTTGGTTAGAGATGCATGGAAGATTTGACATAGCTCAGTCGGGCTGCTAAGTCGCTAGGAACAAATGGCTTCCTATGGCGCAAACTACACACGTGGCATGCAGCAGCGGATCAATATCAGACAACTGAGCAATGCTCCAGCCATGTGTGATTGATGGCTACCAGAGCCTACTGCATACTAACGGTGTAGCTTACGCCTTACCTCCGCCATCTGTTTAGCGAGCAATTAGCAGGATTGACCTTCCAGGGTAGCTCTAGCTCAACCTCGGCACTCCAGCTGTGCTTTAACTACAACTCCCATCATGCTTCTGACTCTGGGAGTCATACTTGGTGCTGTCTGAGTCTTGTAATACCTCATGGGACTTGTAGTTGCACAAGAGCTGGATTGCCGAGGTTGCCTAACCCTGTCTCCTAGAGGCCGGGTGTAGCCAAACTCTGGCCCTCAAGCTGTTGTGGAACTAAAAGTCCCATGAGGCAGTGCAGGACTCCGTCAGCCACAGGCATGATGGAAATTTGTAGTGTCACCACAGCTGGAGTGCTGAGGTTGCCTAACCCTGTTTCCTAGAGGCCGGGGGTATCCAAACTTGGGCCCTCTAGCTGTTGTGGAACTACAAATCCCATGAGGCATTGCAGGACTCAGTCAGCCACAGGCATGACGGAATTTGTAGTGTCACCACAGCTGGCGTGCCGAGGTTGCCAACTCCAGCTCTAGCCTAATGAGGTGACTACAAGAAAACAGTTCAATCTCTTGGTAGCTGGAGATGTGAAATGCCCAGGTAGCGCCATCCTGAATGATCATATGCAACGAGCCACCGAGGGCAGCAATCCAAAGCAACCAATCAGGTTTGGAGGAAGTGCAGTCAGGCCCCCTCCCAAAAAGAAGTCTACTTGGCCGCACTAAGCACCCTCTACTGCTCTAAATAGAACGGACCCCCTGTGTACCCCATGGCACCCTAGTCAATTGTCAAGGAACGCTTTTACCCCACAAAATGGCTTCCACACTTTTCAGACAAGTCCCAATCTATGTAATAAAAAAAAAAGAAACCGTGACCGTGAAGTGACGGGAATGGCGCGCACAGCTCACAAGCGAAGGCATAATTTAACATGAGCCACAGACAAGGTTGGCATGATATAATTCTATATACGTCTTATATATTTCATTCTTTGCATTGTTCTGCTCGGAGACAGAGAGAGGTGAGAGGCCTTTGTTTTTCCGTAAGCAGGTTGTGTATATTTCGCATTCTAAAGTTTCCTGCGAGGACGCGAGACATTCTCTATGTGCTTGAGAGCGAAGTGCAGAAAGTAGCGTAAACTCTGAACCCCCCCCCCGACAAAAAAGGAGTCCGATACAGACACCGAGGCGGGTAGAAAGAATTGGGAGCTATGTGGAATCTGGTCATTAACTGCAGTGACTGAACCAGAAACGGGTCCATTCTTGGCTCTCCAGAGACCATGGCCAGGGCATACGTGGTTCCCCAGAGACCATGGCCAGGGCATTCGTGGTTCCCCAGAGACCATGGCCAGGGCATTCGTGGTTCCCCAGAGACCATGGCCAGGGCATTCGTGGTTCCCCAGAGACCATGGCCAGGGCATTTGTGGTTCCCCAAAAGACCATGGCCAGGGCATTTGTGGTTCCCCAAAAGACCATGGCCAGGGCATCTGTAGCTCCCCAGAGACCATGGCACTCATGGCTCTTCAACAACCTTGGCTAGGGCATTTGGAGCTCCCCAGAGACCATGGCCAGGGCACTCATGGCTCTTCAACCACCTTGGCCCCCCAGAGACCGTGGCCAGGGCATCTGTAGCTCCCCAGAGACCATGGCCAGGGCACTCATGGCTCTTCAACAAGCTTGGCCAGGGAATCGTGGTTCCCCAGAGACCATGGCCAGGGCATGATGTAGTATCACCACAGCTGGAGTGCCAAAGTTGCCTACCCTTGCTACAAAATAGATACAGCCACACACCAACTACCCAGAATAAATGAAAGAGCTCCCCATAGAGGCTGTGGCCACTCTCTACGCAGAATAAATGAAAGCGCTCCCCCCCAAGAGGCTGCGGCCAATTGAAAGAGCACCACCTAGAGGTTGCGGCCACACACTCACTACCCAAAATAAATGAAAGAGCGCCACCTAGAGGCTGCGGCCACACACTCACTACCTAGAATAAATGAAAGAGCTCCCCCTAGTGGCTCTGGCCACTCTCTACGCAGAATAAATGAAAGAGCTCCGCCCCTAGAGGCTGCAGCCAATTGAAAGAGCACCAACTAGAGGTTGCGGCCACACACTCACTACCCAAAATAAATGAAAGGGTGCCCCCAACGGCTGTGAACATAATTATACTTTCTGATCCAGGCAGGGTCCCCTGTGCCTAAAATACAACCACTTGCGGGGACAGCACCCTACTCCTCCTTTGCTGCCTCCTTCATTCCTTCAATTCCCAGTAACGCAATCAAGAGCCACCATCATCAGCAGGAATTCCCTCCCCCTTTCACAGAGGGCTAAAGAGGCAGGACAATGGCATGGTGCGGTGTGTCTCGACCGGTAGCATCCATTTTCGAAAAAAGGGGGAAGTCTTAGGAGGGAATGTTCAAATTTCATGGGATGTCAAAAACTTGGGAGGAAGGGAGGGGAATTAGTGTCGTCTTTTTTTTGGCAGCCCAGCAAGGCTGTGAGATGATGATGGGAGTTGTTACAAGACAAGGAATGGGAAACAAAAGTAAGGGGGGGGGGTTGGGGGTGTGAGGAGGAAGGCCTAGAATGGAGCGGAATCCTGTGACTTGTCCGGTGAGTGTAAGCTCTGGCTACCGTTCTCTCCATTGCTGTCGGTTGACCCCCGGGGCTGCAGAGAGAAAAATAAATAAATGGCTCCAAAATTACAGATATTGAGAGGAGAAAACAATTGTAGCGCTCTCATATACAGCGGTGACACAAGTATATTGCAGCAAATAATCATTTTGTAACTGGTAGCACTGGAAGGGCTGGGTCTTCATTGAGTTTTAAAGCTGAACTCTGGGATAAGCAAAGATGAATAAATACAAAAGTCATGTGTACTCTTCCTCTAATCTTGGTGAGCCTGAACTGGTCCTGTCTCTACCCCCTCCTGTAATAAAGACCGGTGACTGCTGTTCTCTCTCCTTGTGCAGGGTGATTGGTCTTGTCTCCACCCCCTCCTGTAATAAAGACCGGCCTATTTTGCTTACTCCTCGTGCAGAGAGACTGGTCTTGTCTCTGCCCTCCTCTCCCCCCCATAATAAAAACCGGTCACGGTTGCTCTCCCTACTTGTGCAGGTGACTGGTCTCGTCTCCGCCCCCTCCTGTAAGAAAGACCAGCCACCACTGCTCTCCATCCTTATGCAGCGTGACTGCTCTTGTCCCCGCCCCCTCCTGTAATAAAGACCAGTCACTGCTGCTCTCTCTCCTTGTGCAGGGTGACTGGTCTTGTCTCCGCCCCCTCCTGTAATAAGGACGTCACTGCTGCTCTCTCCTTGTGCAGGGTGACCGGTTTTGTAAATCGCCCCTTGTATCCATTATGGGTGGGGCCTCCTGGCTCCATCCCACAGCTCTGCTCTCTGCACAAGCTATGTACAGCACAGCAATGATATCACTGCATGTTTTGCAAGACAATACCTAGATTTTCAAAGGCATTTGCTGCACACACAGTGGATTTATATCCTTCACAGTTATTAAAGAATATATTTAAATAAAAGTTTTTGTTCCCGAGGTTCAGCTTTAAATGACAAATATTTCAAGCAAACGTATGTGCTTTGCCCATGCAGGCCAAGAGCAACAGGTTCACTTTAAACTTGCTAGTTAAAAAAAATCAAAAAAGCACTTCCTGCACAGAAAAGGGTTAATAGCTACACCTGCCGTGCCACTGATCTTTGCCGTCTTCAAGCACCATGCTGGCTGAAGAACCTTCAGCTTCTAACACTTCCAGGAATGTCAGATGCCTTAGTCACCCGCGGTGAACCGCGGTTTGCTGTGTTGTAAGGGCTGGCGGATGGAACCGCTGTGGGACCTGGCATTTGATGCTCCTGGAAGTGTCTGATGATGGAGATTTTTCAGCCAGGATAGTGCTTGAAGACAGCAAAGACCAGTGGTACGGGAGGGATAAAAGTGAACCCATTTGCAGGGAGTCCTTTGAAAACTTTTTTTGTTGTTCGCATAAAATCATATTATTGCCCCCCCCCCCCCCCCAGCCACCTCAAACTCCCCTTTCACTT